CTTTCTCTCCTTGCTAATTCTCCACTCACTTTCTTCAATTCACTTTACATTTAAACTATGTCGACTCTCCACACAATTCATATCTTATATACAACACTGTAAAGCATCCACATTGGCAGGAAATTTGCCTGTCTAAATTCATTGTGAATTGTTGTGAGACCCTGTCCTAAAATACACACTAATGGTGCCTGGAGAGATGTCCAAGTTAGTAAAATGCTTTACAAGTGAACTTAAAGATCAGAGTTTAATCCCCAGCACCGAAGAAAAACTGGGTGCAGCTGTACACACACGGAACTGTAGCACCAAAGAAGTAGACACATGAAAATGCCTTAGATTTCCTGACCAGCCAGCATGCTGAATCAATGAGCTCCAGGTCCAGTGAAGAGAAACCCTGATTCAAAACACAAGGTTGACAGAAATTGAGAAAGACATCCAACACTTGGCATCTACACACATTTAGACACAGACACACACACATACACACACAACACGAATACTTATATACTCATACTCATAACAAAACTGGAGAAATTTGAGACATACTTTTATGGACTATGAACAGACTAGTGATAAACTGAAAGAAAACAAATTACCAAGCAGCAAACAAAAGTCCATTTTTTCATCACATGCCTTTACCTTAAAATGATTACTGAGGCATAATTGAACTTACAGTTACATGATTTCATAGCCAATGATACTGCTTAATATTCACAAACCTATGGGACTCTGGCTATTCTATTACATACTTATGTGATTGCCCTCATCCTCTTATTTCAAGAAGGTAGGTAACACAAAAAACAGGCAAGTTAATAGGAATATCACAAGGATAGAGTGATGTGTGACATGTCAGACCATGGTAGAGAACATTCAAGAATCAAACAGGGAATATATATTTTCTATCATTATTGATGTTTATTGTTACAATGATTCATAAGGCGAGAATGGCGTTTGTTCATCTCTAAAACCTTGTACTAAACAGTAGATTGTAGATCTATCTTCAGTGACTCTTACTATAAGGCAGAAAATGAATTCTGAAGAGTAAAACATAGTAGAAAATACAGTTGTGTGCAAGTAACAGTGCTGATTTGTCATTTTGTAGATTTTTTAATTCAGTTGAAAGAGGGTCCAGAATCATGATTTTCGACTATCAATTAGAGGAAGTTTCCTTGATAACTTATTTGCTGTTCCCTAGAACATAAGTTCACAAGAGGGCTTGTATTATCTCAGGTCTCTTTTGACTCTGTCATCCTAATTTGAATTCTTCCCGCTTCACAAATGAGACTTGAAATGACACAATTCAGCCTTTTTTTGTATGGGCTGTCATTCTATTTCTGTCCTGTCTAAAATGAAAGCAGAAGGATGTTTAGGATGCTGTCTGGTATCAGAAGGTGTGCAGACAACCCACATTCATTGAATTAGAAACTCAAGAAAAAGAGAAGAAGTGTTGCTCTGTTACTAACAAGAGCACAGCCATAGGAAGGGTTTAGGTAGAGGGTCTGAAGGAGGTGGCAGACACGATTTTTGTATCTATTGCTTCTCTAGGATGGGAACAGGATTACTATAGCAAGAGCAGAGACGCAGCTGTGTTCTTATAGGTGATGGTGAGTGTTATTAGATTACTATTTGTGAACCACAGACCTGTAATGGTAAAAAAGTTCAAAGCCATCTGAGATGTTCTATGGATCTCCAGAAATACTCTGAGAAATCCTACACTGAGGTGATTTCTGAAACAGTGGGTCTTCTTTCTTCCCTCTTAAGAAAGGTTTATTAATTTTGATTTTAGGAATATGTTTTACCTGCATGTATAGTCATGTACCATATGCATGTCTATGTTTGTAGAAGTTGGAAGAAGGTGCCAGATACCCAGAATCTGGAGCTAAATGCTTGTGAGTCACCATATGGGTGCTGGAGATTAAACCCAGGTCATCTGAAAGAGCAGCCAATGCTCCAAAGGTTGAGACACCTCTTCAGCCCCTCCTCATTTTAAATTTAAATTTAAATTACTATAGTACACTTGGAGAGCATCAAGTGAAATGTGATTACATGATTCTAATCAATACTTTCCTCGTATAAAATATCACGTTTTAATTAATGTATATTATCTCCATAATCATAATATGCACAAAATAGTTACCTTATTTGATTTTGATTTTGCCCTGCAGTTACTCTGTCCCTGTACCCATAAAATGCTTATAAAGTTCTTTCTAAAAATTGACCCAAACATTTATTTAATCTCTATTTATATTGTGCAGTATGATATTTCCTTACTTTTATTAGAAGACTCAAATAATACATTGTATTCACTCCTTTTCTGAGTTAGGGTCTTTCTGTTATGTGAACTATCAGAAAGTTGTCATGTGTCTTTAGCCAATTACCAAATTATCTTGTGCAAAAAAAACACATAGAATTTACCAGTGTTACTATTAACACAGCATAATACAAATTTGTTCTCTTAAAGTACAAAATTGTTCTTTTAAAATGATTAATTTACTACATATTCATACCTGTATACATTTACATTTTGAAACATATAAATTGATTTGAATAAATACCCTCCATTTCCTCCACACTCCCTCTCTTTGTTTTATTTTACTTTATTTATATGATCATTTTGCCTGTGTGTATCTTTGTCCAGTACTTGTGTGCTACAGACAGTGATGAGCTTCTGGTCCTCTGGAAAAGCAGTCAGAGCTCTAAACCTCTGAGCCATCTCTCCCTCCTCCCTGTTTTTTTTGTTTTGTTTTGGTTTGGTTTGGTTTTTGGTCTTTCAAGACAGGGTTTCTCTATACCTGTTGTTTTTTATTTGCCTCTAAGTCACCCCTGTCTGCATGGAGTCAGAAGATCTACTGGAGCATGAGTAGTCTTTCAGGAACCATATCCTTGAAGGAAGCTGATGCTCCCTCCTTCTTCCCCAAAAGCTCCTCAGACAGATGAAATTGGGGGTTTCTGAAACTCTCCCCCTATTTGTGGTGGGATTTGGGCTGGACTGACATTATCTAAGTGTTATGCATTGTGGCAGCAGTTCCACCTGCTGTGGGTTCATACATGCCGCTGTGATGTCATGCCCACCAACTATTTCATTACAGATATCTACCCACTCTTGCTCTTACAGCTTATGCTCCCTGATTCCTTAGCATGAGGGGAGAGGGTGTAATATAGACATCCCATCTGGAGCTGGGAACTCCAGAGTCTTTTATTCTCCGCACATTGACTAGTTGTGGGTCTCTGCTATCAGTCATCATCTTTACTGTGAAAAAGAAATTCCCTGAATGATGAGAGACGCAGTAATGTATGGCTATAAAGATAATAGCTTAGGAAGAATTTTATCACTATGTTAAGTTGGTAGAATAACAGTATCAGATTCTCCCCTAGGACCTATGAGCCGGCAGCTAGCCATGGTTCTGGAGACCACTTTACAGTGCCAGACATAAAGTCTATCTTATGAGGAGAACTTCAAAGCCAGTCGGAAAGTTGCTGAGTAATCCCATAACATTCATGCCACTATTGCACCGGTGGGCATGTCTTGCCAAACCATGTGTTATTCTAGCTTTCAGGGTTCATAAGTGGACAGTACTGTTGACTGCTTATCTTTCCTGTTGGTAGGCACAGTACCATGCAGCACTCTGAAAGCTAGCCATTAGAAATGAAGTTTTCAGGTTAGTACCAGCTGGATTTCTTCACATCATATACAGAAAATGTCTAACTGGTTGGAAATTTTGGTGATTTTATAAATCATGAGTCATATAGAAGTTGATGACATTTCTATAATCTGCTGTTTTCAGGTTGTAGTTTTACATTCTCTCTCTCTCTGTCTCGGTCTCTCTCTCTCTCTCTTTCTCTATTTGTGTGTGTGTGTGTGTGTGTGTGTGTGTGTGTGTGTAATTCTATGTGCCCACAATGGCCAAAAGTGTTGGCTCTCCTAGAGCTGGAATCACAGGACTACAGATGGTTATGATGCATTGAGCATGGATGCTGTAGGTGAAACAGCCTGTGTGCTTTTAACAACAGAGCTCTCTCTTCAGCTCCATAACACAATTTTCACTTATATAAATATTTTGTCATACTCATAGTATTCACATTATGAAAACAACCAATAATTTCTAAAATAATGTCTTTCTCTTCTGCACCAAATAATAAAGTTTTCATAGTGTGATAAGACTTTGATGTATTATCCATTTTCCCAAGTAATTAGCTTTTGACAATCCACATAGATACATTTTGTTTTAACAAATAATTCAGTGATTTTATTTTAAGATATACTTATTATTGAAATATTCCAAATAAAATAATTTTGGTCAGGAATGTCATTCAAGCTCAAACTCCTTAAATTATCCAGGCTTTAGACCTCACTATACTGTACTTAGGTAATTAGAGTCATAATGCTAAGAAAAAAATTCACCATTATCTTGACATTTACCAAGACCAACTTTAAAATAAAGAAAGAAATAAAAAAGGCATAGATACTAAAATGGAATCATGACATCTAAGTTTTGATGAAGACATTCATAATAACTATAAGATATTTTATAAATACCTCATATACAAAGTCAATGGTGGTCAACATAATTACAGCGTTTGTTTTCAATGGTCTTTTAAGACTGAAAATAATAATCCATCAACATTTTTGCCTCTAGAATTTGAAAGATAATTAGCAGCTTTAATTAAAGGTAATGAGAGGTTTGGAACAGGGAGCCCACACAGAAATTAAACCTATGATTAATTCAATGTGCTCATCAAGTGTGCTAAAGACAGAAAGTACAGCTTTTTTTGCTATGAAGAGCACAAAAAGTGTATGTCAAAAGGTTTGCCAAGCTTTGTATCATTCTTTCTTATGAATATATTGTTGTTCAGATAGCCCCCCAACTTATGAAGCTTCAGTTTTCTTCTGATTTACTTTATAATGATGCAAAACTCAGTATAAATTCAGTTACAAAAATGCCGTACTTTAATGACTGAATCCTGGGTGGCTTCTTACGGTGTGATGTCCTCATCCAATGCAGGGAAGTGGCTAAGCCACAGCTCCTGGTTGAAAATGGATTCATGAAGAAACAGGTCACCCTGCACAGTCTCCAAGTCTATGACATGGGGCAGGTAATGTACATTAAATTTTGAGTTGTGATGGTTTGTGATTAAAATGGATTTAATGGGAAGTAAATCAAGGAGTATCAGCATTAGCAATTTCTTTTAATAAAATAAGGATAACATATATCTAAGTTCTTTTCCTTGCTATAAATGACATTTGGGTTTATGAATGTGAATGCATTGTCTGGATGCCAGCTACCTGCCTATGCTGAAGAGGCAGAATGAGAGTTACAGCAATAGAGGAGTAGGCAGGAAGTTCAGGAACCTGATTCATCACCCACAAGCTAAGTAAGCATGGGTGATGACACATGTGCTTTTAGTCTCCTGAACTCAACAAAACGATTAGAGCATGGCAAGAGTGGGCAAGCAATGCAGAAGACTTGGTCTGCACACAGTTTCTAAACATTTATCTCATCCAGTGCTCTGATTACACTAGCCTAAGATCAAGAGGCTGCTCTCATTTCCATCATACTTCTTGATCTACTATGGTCTATAGTTTGGGTTTTAGGAGTAACATTTTATTCACAGGGGAAAGTCACTCTCTTGAAAAGATTTGAACATCACCATGTATCTTAGTAGTGGTTCTTTGAAGCTTCTAGGTTCATTCCTCTTGGCTGTTCTGAGTAGTAAACCATTTGACCAGTGCTATGCATGAGGCAACAAAGACAACACAACTACAAAAACAAATAGCGAAAACCCTTGTCTCTCATTTCGTTATCAACAGAAAGTCAAACAGTTCTAGAGCAGTTATGATTACTAACATTTTAATAAACATTGTTTTTGAGAGCAATGTAATCTCCTTGGTTCGCTTTTCCTTTGTGAATTCTCTTTGATAGCACTTTCTAATTTGGATAAAGTTTGTTTTATTTATAGCCCTACCTTCTGTCACTGTGTTAATAACCTGAAAGAAAAATCAAAGTTTAGTTTAAATTTAAGACTAATAATGTTTTGCCATTTAATCTAGAAGGCAGATCCAACAATATTGGGATACTATATGCTAAAATCTACATGAAATTCACCTATTTAAAGACAATTATTATATGTCAAATAATTTCTGACATGTTTTTGAAATATCATAATAAAAAACTCTAGAAATGTTCTAGGAAATGTGCTGGGGTTATAGATAAGGGTGTGTTACTTTTATATTTAATCTTTTAAATGAACCCCGTGCTTCTTTGAGGGAAAAGGTAAACTTTATAATTTACTTCATTCAGTATTATACACAGATTTTAAATTATATATATACAAATATATATATATATATATTTCCAGAGATACTTCTATTTGTTCTCCATACCTAAAGAAATGAGTCAAATATCAAAGAAAAGTTAATGAAAGAGAATTCCCCCATGAATGGTCAGCACTGACTAAATAAATTAATATGTAATACCCCTATGTGTTTTGGGTAGCTCTGGTATATTATGTGAGGTGGTGTCTTCTACTATGGAGACTGAGAAATGCAATGTCTAGGGACCAGCACACCTGGTAAGGGCCTACTTGATGTGTGAAGAAGAAAAATTGCCCATCTGGAAATTGTTTGTCTTATTTCTGTTAAAAGTTTAAACCCATCCAGTAAGGCTTTGATGATCTGATTGTGTCTTCAAAGTCCTACCTATTGTCACAGTGCCAAGTAAATATATTGTCACAGTACCAAGTAAATCTCAGCATGAGTTTAAAGGAGAGAAATATGCATATCAACTTTAAGGTCTTTTTAAAATTTAAATGTAAATTAGAAACAAGTTTGCGTCACAAATCAATTTCAGGTCCCTCTCCCTTTCTCTCCCCTCCTCCCGCAACCTCCCACCAAGTCCGCAACATCCCCTCATTTCCACGGGGAGGGTGACGCCCTCCATCGGGGTGTCCAGAGTCTGTCATTTCATCCTGGGCAGGGCCTAGAGCCCCCCACCAAGAGTCCAGGGTGAGAGTGCATCTCTCATTGTTGGATGGGAGCCCAAAGTCCATTTGTATACCCAAGATAAATACTGATCTATTACCCAAGGCTCAATAGATTACCTAGGCCTCCTCACTGACACCCATATTCAGGGGGTCTTGATCAGTCCAATGCTGGATTCCCAGGCATCAGTCTGGGATTCAAGAGCTAACCCTTGTCAGGTCAGCTGTTTCTGGGGGTTAAACCAGCCCAGACTTAACCCCTTTGGTCATCAATCCTCCCTCTCTGTCACTGGATTTCTTGAGTTCAGCTCAGTGCTTAGCCATGGGAGTCTGCCTCTTCTTCCATCAGCCACTGAATGAAGGTTCTGTTGCCCAGATTCTCTGGACATGGTATTTTAGGATGGTACTCCCCAGGTCTATGTCTAAAATCCATATATGAGAGAGTACATGCCTTGTTTCTCTTTTTGTGACTGGGTTACCTCACTCAGGATGGTTTCTTCTAGTGCCATCCATTTGCCTGCAAATATCAGGATTCTATTCTATTTTTCTGCTGAATAGTACTCCATTGTGTAAATGTACAACATTTTCTCTATCCACTCTTTGGTTGAGGGGCATCTAGGTTGCTACCAAGTTCTGGCTATTACAGATAATACTGCTATGAACATAGTGGAACAGACATCCTTGTTGTATGAATGGGCATCTTTTGGATATATGCCTAAAAGTGGAGTTGCAGGGTCTTGTTGTAAGTCTATTCCAATTTTTCTGAGGAATCTCCATAATGATTTCCAAAGTGGCTGTATTAGTTGGCACTCCCACCAGCAGTGGAGGAGTGTTCCCCTTTCACCACAACCTATCCAGCATAAATTGTCGTTGGAGTTTTTGATTTTAGCCATTCTGACAGGAGTAAGATGGTATCTCAGAGTTATTTTGATTTGCATTTCCCGGATGGCTAAGGATGTTGAGCACTTTCTCAAGTGCCTCTCAGCCATTTTAGACTCCTCTGTTGAGAATTCTCTATTTAGTTCTGTAGCCCACTTTTTAATTGGATCCTTTGGTGTTTTGGAGACTTGCTTCTTGAGTTCTTTGTAAATTTTGGAGATCAGCCCTCTGTCAGATGTGGGGTTAGTGAATATCTTTTCCCATTCTGTGGGCTGCCGTCTTGTCTTGCTGACTGTGTCCTTTGCCTTACAGCGGCTTCTCGGTTTCAGGGGGTCCCATTAATTGTTGATCTCACTGTCTGTGCTACTGGTGTTATGTTCAGGAAGCTGTCTCCTGTACCAATTCATTCAAGGGTACCACCCATTTTCTCTTCTAAGAGGTTCAGTGTGGCTGGATTTATGTTGAGGTCTTTGATCCATTTGGACTTAAGTTTTGTGCATGGTGATAAACATGAATTGATCCGCATTCTTCTACATGCCAGCATCCAGTTATGCCAGCACCATTTGTTAAAGATGCTTTCTTTTTGCATTGTATATTTTTAGCTTCGTTGTTGAAAACCAGATGGTCATACATGTATGGATTAATATCAGGTGTTCAATTGGATTCCATTGGTCTACCTGTCTATTTTTGTGCCAATTCCAAACTGTTTTCAGGACTACAGCTCTATAATAGAGCTTGAGGTGGGGGATGGTTATGCCTCCAGATGTTGTTTTGTTGAGCAAGGTTGTTTTTCCTATCCTGGATCTTTTGTTTTTGCATACAAAATCGATTATTGTTCTTTCAAGGTCTGTGAAGAATTGTACTAATATTTTAATAGGGATTGCATTGAATCTGTAGATTACTTTCGGCAGGATTGCCATTTTTACTACATTGATTCTACTTATCCAAGACCATGGGAGATCATTTCATTTTCTGAGGGCTTTTTTAATTTCTTTCTTTAAAGACTCAAAGTTCTTGCGATGCAGGTCTTTCACTTGTTTGGTTAGTGTTATCCCAAGGTATTTTATGTTGTTTGTGGCTATTGTAAAGGGTGATGTTTCAATGATATCTTTAAGTTTTTTTATTATTTATTTTTAAGTTTAAATTTAGATTAGAAACAAGGTTGCTTCACAAATCAGTTCCAGGTCCCTCTCCCTTTCCCTCTCCTCCTCCCATGCCCTCTCCCCAACCCCCCCATAATCCCCTCATTTCCCCAGGGAGGATGAGGCCCTCCATGGGGGTGTCCATAGTCTCTCATTTCATCCAGGGCAGGGTCTAGACCCTCTCCCAAGAGTTCAGGGTGAGAGTGCATCTCACATTGTTGGATGGGAGTCCAAAGTCCGTGTGTATACTTGGGATGAGTACTGATCTACTGCCCAAGGCTCAATAAATTACCTAGGGTGTCAGTAAGGAGGCCTAGGTGATTTAAGTTTTAGTAATGTTTCTTTTATGAATGTGGATGCCTTTGTATGTTCAGAATTGAAACTTCATCTTGGTGGATTTCACCTGTGATGAGTATGTAATGACTTCCTTCATCCCTTTCGATTGATTTTATTTTGAAGTCTAATTTGTTAGATATTAGGATTGCTACTCCACGTGTTTCTTGGGTCCATTTGATTGGAAAATCTTTTCCCAAACTTTAACTCTCAGGTAATGTCTACCTTTGAAGGTGATGTGTGTTTCTTGTATAAAGCAGAAGGCTGGATTCTGTCTTTGAATCCATTATGTTAGCCTGTGTCTTTTTATGGGTGTGTTAAGACCATTAATATTGAGGGATATTAATGACCATTGATTGCTTATTTTTCTTTGATTTGGAATGGTTGTTGGTGGTGGAATTATGTGTGGAATTCTACCCCTTTTTTCTTTTGGCTGTTGGTAAAGTGGGATTATCTAATACCTATGTTTTTCTGGTTGTAGTTAACTTCCTTGGGTTAGAGTTTTTGTTCCAGAACTTTCTGTAGGGCTGGATTAGTGGATATGTATTGCTTGAATCTAGTTTTGTCATGGAATATCTTGTTTTCTCCATCTACAGTGATTGAGAGCTTTGCTGAGTATAGTATTCTGGGCTGGCATCCATGGTCTCTTAGTGTTGGTAGAATATCTATCCAGGATCTTCTGGCTTTCAGAGTTTCCATGGAGAAGTCAGGTGTAATTCTGATAGGTTTGCCTTTATATGTTACTTGGCCATTTTCCTTAAC